CGAGGCATTAGGGGTGAGTTAATTAAATGTTTGACCAAATATAGTAGGCTAATTTTTAAGTTGATAATTTTGTATGGCCCGCGAATGATGTTATAAATATCCAAATGACCCTTGGTAGAAAAAAGGTTCCCCACCCCTGCTTTAATTGAATGCCTTAATAGTTCAGTTTACTTCTTGGGGGACTTAAAATCAGCTTGTCAACACACAAAGTATTCTTTTTAAGCTTTTCAGATTTCCAGTAGCTCATCTATACCAGAAAGCTTATGTAATGGCAGCCAATTTGCAAACATCAAATTTAAGATTACAGCTTCAGTAAAACAGAAAGAGAGAAATTAAAGCTCACTTCAAGTATTTATGTTGGCAGAGACTGAACTTAATACTTAAGAAAAGACTGACACGCCCTAACTGGTTTGGCTCAGTGGATAGAGCGTCGGCCTGCCGACTGAACGGTCCCGGGTTCGATTCCAGTCAGGGGCATGTACCTTGGTTGTGGGCACATCCCCAGTAAGGAGGTGTGCAGGAAGCAGCTGATCGATGTTTCTCTCTCATCAATGTTTCTAGCTCTCTATCCCTCTCCCTTCCTCTCTAAAAAATCAATAAAATATATTTTTTTTTAAAAAGAAAAAGAAAAGACTGACATCAAGGGCTCCATTTTGCCATCACTCATGTGCTGTATGTACCAGTTTTCACATTACTTTAATCAAGAACCAGACATAATGAGTCTATCACTTAAGGTAGGCAAATTCATTACTATTTCTTTGGAAAAATTTGACATCTTGGCTCATGTCACATATTTTCAAACTAAGTATGAATTCCACTAAAAGGACAAAGAACAAAGAAACTAGAATAGCTTAGCTTTAGTAAGTGTATATGTTCATGAAACAAGAAAACAACTAAGTGGGTCTTATAATATAAAACTGCTAGGGTCAATTTTGTAATCACTAGATCTTCAAGTTTCCTTCAAAATGTGAAGAAGAATCCTTATTCTACCCAAAGCAATCTACAGATTCTATGCAATCCCCATTAAAATATCAATGGCATATTTCACAGACCTAGAACAAATTCTCCAAAAATTCATATGGAATAAAAAAAGACCCTGAATAGCCGCAGGAATCTTAAGAAAGAAGAACAAAGTAGGAGGGATCTCAATACCAGATATCAAGCTGTATTACAAAGCCACTGTTCTCAAAACTGCCTGATACTAGCACAAAAACAGACATATTGACCAATGGAACAGAACAGAGAACCCAGAAATTAACCCAAGCTATTATGCTCAATTAATATTTGACAAAGGAGGCAACAGCATACAATGTAGTCAACAAGACAGTCTCAATAAATGGTGTTGGGAAAATTGGACAGATACATATAAAAAAATGAAACTAGATAACCAACTTACACCATACACAAAAATAAACTCAAAATGGATAAAGGACTTAAACATAACAAGGGAAACCATAAAAATCTCAGAGGAATCCACAGGCAGCAAAATATCAGACATATTTTTGAGTTTCCTCAAAAAAAATTAAAAATGGAACTCCCATTTGACCCAGTAATCCCACTTCTAGGAATATATCCCAAGAAATCAGAAAGGGTATATGCACCCCTATGTTCATAGCAGCACAATTTATAATAGCTAAGATTTGGAAACAGCCTAAGTGCCCATCAGCAGATGAGTGGATTGAAAAACTGTGGTACATCTACGCTGTACCACAGCGTAGTGGAATACTACGCAGCGGTAAAAAAGAAGGAACTCTTACCATTCACAACAGCATGGATGGACATGGAGAGCATTATGCTAAGCAAAATAAGCCAGGAGAAAGATAAATATCACATGATCTCACTTATCTACACTAATAAAAGACAAACATGCAAATTGACCATACCTTCACTATGCCTTAAGACACGCCCACCAGCCAATCAGAGCAACTATATGCAAATTAACCCAACCAAGATGGCGGCCAGCAGCCACGGAGCTGGAGCAAGCAGGAGGCTTGGTTGCCCCAATGATGGAGGAAGCCAAGCTTCCCGCTTGCCGCGGCAGGCTCTGAGCTCCACTCAAAGCAACAAAGTTTCAATTATAGAAGGTAAATAAACCCTGGATACCTGCTTTCAGCCAGCCGTGGCCACGGAGCTGGAGCGAGCAGGAGACTTCCCTCCCACCCGCCTGGCCGGCTCTGAGCTCCGCTGAAGGCAACAAAGTTTCAATTATAGAAGGTAAATAAA